TGACTCAAGAGCCATCTTAAGTGATACTGCAGTTGTATCACTAACATGTACAATGCCAAGAAAGCACTCAAGTACATGACCCTTTTTATCTACATAACGTATGGCAATAGCCATTTGTTCTTTAATTGACACATCATGAGACTCATCAATTAAAATTGAAAATATGTCATCTCCAAGATCACTAATGATAGCTTTTGTGGTTTCATTTGCCGCAGTATTCACAATATCTTTCTGAATCACTGGTGCTATCAATTTAAGATTCCTAGGTGCATTCTTCAAAAAAACACTCTTAAAATGTTCATTATGTTTAGCTAGAAAATTAATAAGTTCTAGAAAGTTACCTTGGTTCTTTGAGTCTTCTGTTTCATTATGACCACGAAATGCCAACCCTTGACGCAAAAGAAATCTAATGCAAACAATGGATGCAGTCAAGCGAGTTCGGTATTCAATCCTAACTTGATCTGATTGCTTAGATAGAGCCACTTTGATATGTTGCTTTTGATTCATTAAATTCACACAACTCTGTCGTGCTTGGTTAAGAGCACTACTTGGCTGGCCAACATGAATTTGAAAGCGTTCTGGTTTCTTCCAATTACAAAATCCCTGACTAACGAAAGCGTAACTACCAGCTTAGCTTATAATGGCAGGTCTAAAAAGATAACAATACAAACAGAATGCAACATCTTTGGTCACATTATACTCAAGCCAATCGCCATACATATCAAACCAAGCAGGATTAAATCGACAATATCCTTTTCCAAATTTTGTCAGTGGAAATGCATGATTTCGAGGCTAGCAACAACTCTTTTGCAAGTAAAATCTTCGAATTGCATCCCTATAATTAGGATGATAATGATTGATTTTAGGTCGTAGAATTGGATCAGATGGAAGATCTTTCAAGATGGCTTCTAGTTCTACATAACTTTCTTTTAATGGATCATTTTCTTTATCATTGGCTTTACTTTCTTGGACTGTTAGGATGATTGGTCTATTGTTGATTTTCTTTTGAGAAATTTATCCATATTGCAAACCTAATAAGAAGTTTTAAACAAATAACACAATAAGAAATTGTACAAGAATAATAACCTATAGTGATTTACATACATAGTAATGGAAAGACAATAAGACATACATAGTAACCCATAGTGATTTACATACATAGTAATGGAAAGACAATAAGAATATGATATTTTGTGTGTTTTAATTCCTTTTAGACTCATTTAACATGAATCATGCATATTTATAGAAAAAAAGAAGTCAACTCTTTTTATAAAATTTGATTTAGTCAAGTAATTTAATGAGGATGAAAGAAAAGATACACAAACAATAAATAATTAGTTGTTTATGTTTATAAAATTTAAAAAGTTTTTGATATTGTAACAAAGACCTAATATTTTTTTTTTGTCCTTTTTTTCATTGTGCTTGATTAAAAATCTTAAATATGCATCTTTAAAGTTTTTTATTTTTTTTTATTTTTTGTGTGTGTGTGTGTGTTTATGTTGATAATAAGTTTTTGTAATAAGTTCTAGAAATAATTAGTTGTTTATGTTAATAATAAGTTTTAGTAAGCTTTTGTAATAAGTTTTTGCTGTTTATGTTGATAATAAGTTTTTGTAACATAAACTTGTTATCATTGTTGCATCTTTTGATATAACTTTCAGTTACACATTTGCATTGAGTTCAAGGAGAAGGCAAAAGAGAGCATTGAGGTTTTGAAAAAATCTTATTTACTTTATTTAATGCAAGTCAATAGCCTTTTGCCATTTTTGTGCTTTGTTTTGCCATTTTTGTGCTTTGTGGTCCCCTGATCATGTTTGTATTTATTTGTGCCAATGTTCTAATATATTTATTAAGTATTCTCACAACTATGGATCGTTTCAGTGTTCATTTTCTTTTCAAGAATAGACAAAGATCTCCCTGCAACAAGAAAAAATATTTGAAACTGGTTTGTACTTTGTTTAACAATAAACCTGTGATGGCCTTACAAACATTAGAGAAGCAATAAAGAAAACATCAAGGGACCACAAACCACAAACAAACATAAGGGACCACAAACCATATAACTTATAATTTATTTGATACAGTAAAAGGATAGGGTTTTTTTTTTTTTTTTTTTAATATATTTTGTGCAGTTCTTTTACTAAACATAAACAATAATCAACAACAAACAACCTAATTATAAACAGCCACATAATTCATTGTCATCTCATGAACATAAAGATGTCATAACTAAATCATTCAATTTGATTTATGGATAACATTATTTCTTAAAATTATTCAATTAAGAATATTATACTATATGGGAAATTTAGGCTCGGATTCTTTGACACTACTCTTAGTCTCTTACTGGGACATATTGCTTCTTAGGAATATTTTACTATAAGGGAGAAACAATAGGGGAAAGGTACTACAGTCTGCAGAGAGACTTCTGATGGTTTGTGTCAACTAATGTGGGTTGCCAATAGGTTTACAGGAACACCCTTGTCTCTCAAAATTCACGAGTAGGCGTGGGAACGTTTGGGCATTGCCGCATTAGCGAAATGGTAAGGGCCCTTTCAACAACTCTGGTTGGCCATTAGGAGCAGGATTTAGGTTTAGTTATACTTCAAATCTCAAATTCTAAATATATAATACTCAATTTTGTTAGAAGAATGCAATAACAAAAGTTCTAAAACTGTAAAACATCGATTGAACAGAGAAAAATAAGGATTTAGGATTAGGGACATTACCTTTTGATAAATTGATGAAAATTAGTGTTGTTGGAGACTTGGAAGGAGAGTTCAGTGAGAGAGACTTGAGAGTTTAGTCTTTAGAGCACCTGCGTCATGAGAGAAAGGGGGAAGAGAGGTTCTTGGCGTGCATTGTTGTTCCGGGAATTGGTAAGAGTTCAAAAATCAAAATCAAAATCTATTCTTTTCCCAAAATGTCAAAAGTTCTATAGGGGGCAAAATGCAAATAAATATAAATATATATAACATTTGAAGTTTTTTAAAGTTTGAGTGGGGGCCGTGGTCCCCACACGTCATTAATAAAATCCGTCACCGCCTCAAAGAAACCTACTAAAATCTCTTAATTAGCGATTTGGAAGGCTTATATTAGTCTTAAAATTAAAGGGCCCAGGCCTAACCGCCTAAGGTCAAAGAGTGAAGACATGTCCAAACCAAAAGACTCAAATCCAATTCAGTAAAGAAGCCTAAAAGCCATATAAGGGCATGTTGCAATCCACTTCCCTCAAATTGTGGTAGAGATTAAAAAAAAAAAAAAAAAAATTCATGTGAATATGCCCCATGACCTAAAAAGCGATAAACCATGACTCCTAAGTTTAGTGTGTAAGGTAACCACCCATGATCAAGCACCTTGTATACAAGATGGAATTCAAGGAATAGAGGGAAGACAATTTGACTGTTCAACACCTTATGCTTACATTCTATTTGTAGTTTCATTGATCATCTTTGTTAATTCCATCTTGTATCAATTTCTAGTACCAATCCGTGATTAGAGGGCAATAAAGAACCATTAGATTTTGGGCATTACAATTTTAAGGTCAAACAAAAGTAATATAAGTATATTCTAATAACAAAATTCAGAATCCTATGAATTACTTGTGTCTACACATAAATTTGTTCGATATAAACAAAATAATTAATTAAAAGATAGACTCTTACTAAAATAAACTAATTTACATTTTACTTCTATGGATTACTTGACTAGTCATGTTAAATGGTATCAATATAACAATAATAAACGCATTGTTTGAAATTGTATCAAATTTATGAAAACTATACATATGCATAGTTAAATATACAACTTGGAAAGTGCNCTGGTAATTGATAAGAGTCCAAAAATAAAAAATAAAAATCCCGTTCTTTTCCCAAAATGTCAAAGTTCTATAGGGATAAAATGCAAATAAATATAAATATATATAGAATCTGAAATTTTTTAAAGTTTGAGTGGGGGCCGTGGTCCCCACTTGTCATTAATTAAATCCGCCACTATTCCAAAATGTTCAACACTAGACATTCCAATGAAATTTGCACAAAAATTATTAATACATACCTTAGAAGAATTAATCTTTGCTCTCCTCTTCTCATTTGCCATGCAATCATTAACAAAAGATGGAGGCATAATATCCATCCTACATCTTTCTCCAAAATTTTCTTAAGCAAAAGCTTTCAGCTTCCTGATAGACCATCCATTAGCAAGGTCTATAAGTTGAAAGGCAAGAATAGACGTTAAGGGCAGTGAGTGTGAAGAGGTAGTGAGTGTGGAGTGTGTGAGTTGAGTTTGCTGAAAAGAATAAACACATGGCTGATATTTAGAGGATGAATTTAGTGTCAGTTAGTAAAGGGTAACTAGTGTATAGTAAAAAGAGAGAGTGTGAGGTGATTATCAAGGAAATTCTTCATAGGTCATTAAGGGAGGCTCCCCAACTCCTCGAACTACTGGGAATCTACCTGTTGAGTGCTATTATTCTTCAATTGTTATTTTAATCCTTTTATTAATACTAATAAAATTCATATCAGATTGTGTGTTCTCTTGCTTGTTGCTCTTCTATGTATTGCCATTGGTTTTTGGTTCAATTTGACAAGAGGCTCCATCAAATTGGTATTAGAGCTTGGCTAGGGAATAGTAAAATCAAAGGTGGAGAACATAATGGATAATGATGAAAAAGAAATGAAATCGGTGAAGGAAGACATGAGTTGATGAAGACCGATTTGGGGAGCGTTAAGGAGTATCTGACGGAGATACGAGAAGTAATGTAGATGAGGGAAGAAAGGGATGGAAAATGATACAGGGAGAAGGAGAAGTCCTCATCGTCCTCGGAGAATCACAATTCCGGCATTGATAGAGAATAGGGGCAAGAAAACAATGGATATACCGGAAAAGAGGATAAGAAATTCAGGAAGCTTGAACTTTCAATTTTCAATGGAAAGGATCCATTTGGGTGGACATTTCAGGCAGATCGTTATTTTTCCATAAACTGGTATGAAGCATCGAAGATGGTGGAAGTTATCACCGTGTTCATGGAAGGAAGAGCATTGAATTGGTACCGATGGGTAGAATCATAAGAACCATTCAGGTCATGGAAGGATTTTAAGGCAGCTCTAATTTCCAGATTCCGACCGTCATTCCAAGGCTTTGCGCATGAGGCTCTGGTGGCGCTAAAACAGACGTCAACGGTGACTGAGTACAGGAAAGAATTTGACGCTCATACGGCGCCATTAAAAGAGTTGGGTGAGGAAATGTTAATGGGTGTCTTTGTCAATGGGCTTAAGGAGGAGATTAGGGCTGAATTACGTTTGATTAGGCCCAATTCACTTTAGGAAGTTATTGAGCAGGCCATAGGGTAGATGAAAATAATTGGGTTTTAGAAAAATGCAGGCCCAAGTTCATTAAAGCCCAAGGGGTAAGAGAGCCTTATTCTAAATTATCTATTACCTAGATTTAACCCGACCCGTTTGGTGGCCTAATTCGTCAAAAAACCCAGAATCATTCCATTCTACGTCGGCTTGACCACCGGACAGAAGAGAGAGAATGTTGTAGATGGGGGCTTCGAGCTTTAGAGGAGAGAATTTCTGGTGTCTTTCGGAGGCTAATATCCAGTATAAGAGGGAAATGGGGCTTTGTTTTAGATGTGATGAAAAGTTCGGCCCAAATCACTGTTGTAAGAGCAAGTCCTTACAGATTCTTTTGGTGTGGGAAGATGACGATTCTAAGAAAGGTGAACCCACTCCTGACGGCGACGAGATACCCAACTCGGAAGGTAATGCTTTGGCTCTATCTATGAATTCTATTGTGGGTATCACTTCTGATAAAACCTTGAAGGTTAAGGGGCAATCGGGAAACTGATTTGATGGTGTGGTGATAGTGGGGCTTCCTATAATTCTGTATTACATCCAACAAGAGTGGCATCAAAAAATAAGGATTTGCTTCAAGGTGATACCTTAGTTTACTGAAGCAAGCTGTTATTGGATGGAATGTTTATGATTATTTATAGTTTTCTTCATCAAACTGTGAAGGTTTGTGCTTTTTTATGCTTCTACTTCAGCACAGCTTCCATGACTCCATTTTAAATATTTTTTGCTTTGTCTTGCATCTTATATGTATATCAGTTCCATTAAGTTAAAGGGATTTTTTTCTCATAGAATGTTAATTTACTATATGTTTCCTTGCAGGTCTTGCAAAAAAGGTAAATCAGGCTGGACGTGATCGACGTAAAATTTTGAATCTCTTACGTGGATTCTTCTATTGGTTGAAGGTGTATGATTTATTGCAATTTCACGACTTTAAATGGATCTTTTATTTTAGATCACAGAGTATGACACTATTTTAGGTTGATAATTTGATACTTTGAATGATAGTGCATTGTCAGTTTGCCCAACTAAATGAGAATAGCTACTGAACTGATATTAATAGAATAGAATTAATTTGCTTGACAAACAGTAGAAAGTTGGAATATGCAGATATTCACTTCTGACGTAAATTTGTGTCTGTTTATGGCTTCTGCATGTAGATGAAAGTTTTTTTTTCTCTTGTATGATGTTCTGGCTACTTGCATATTTTGGTAATGTACATTATATTATTTCAACATATAATATTGCAGTGGCTTCCTTGAAGGGTCTAGTGAAAGTTCACTTACAGTTGTCCCGAGTACCTGATCCCACAAGTTCTTATGTTGTTTCATAAAAAAATTGAATCTTGTAGGCACTCTGTTGAATCATCAGCTAGTACCCAATCATTTTACATTTGTGATTATTGTGAAAGGAATTTCATAAAGACATTTCATGATTTGTTTATTTTTGTTCAGAATTTGTGTAAGGAAGGAGCATTTTTACCTTGGATGGACTCACAATGTCTAAGCACCTTGCCACCAGTTAAACTCGGAGACTTGAATTCGCAAAGAAAAACATCCACTGGGGAAATTTTGCAGTTTGATGTAAGACCTAGCGTGTAAAAACTTTGGCAACTAGAACAAGTAGGCCGGAATTCAGAATGTTTTGTACAGGATATGTCACAAGCCATCAAGAGAAACTCTTATGAAATGTTTTGAAACGTCGTTGTTGAACATAATTTGTGGCTTCCCAAAGCTAAAGTTCCATTGCATCCATGCTTGTTTTAACTTTCTCCACCGTATAGGAGCCCTCTGATTTAGTTTATCAAAGTTAGAAAGATTGCGTGGTTTCTTCGTAGGGTTACCATGCATCATGCTATTTTTGTTCTGAGGCAAAATTATAAACAGAACATTGCTCAAAAGCACTTCTTGACGTGGTCTTTGGAAAACAGAACCTGGGTAAAGCCTATAAACCGTTTAAACTATGAAACCTTACTATTACTATTATAGATTATTGTTTGGGTTGGTTTAATTGGAATTTTCTATGATGGTAGATTCTATTTCGGTTTTTAAAATTTTAAAACTGATTCAAACGAAGAACATCATGAAAATTTTAAAAATTACAATTATAATCATATCTTTTCAGTTGAAGCCCGATTGATGAGTTTCTTTTACTTACATTGTTGTTCCCTTCTTTGTTCGCTAGGCAACAAGACACTGATGTGGAGACATGGCTGCCTTTTGTGTGTTGTGTTGTGGGGTAAAAAGTCACTCGGTTTTAGCACATTTTGGATGTTTCAGAAAAACTATTTGTTCATGTGAGTAAACCTATTGTTCTATCTTTTGCCACTGGTAATGGTTGATGTTCTTCTTCAAAACTATGTGTTCATCTTCATATTGGATTAATTAAGGTAAAATTGTATCTTATTTTGACATTTTGTATTTCTTCCTTTCTCAATACACAGTTCCCCACAACAAAGTTAAGAGAACACACAAGTAGAATGACAAACTTTCTATTGCAAACAGAGATTAAAATCAACTGTATCGTCCACAGCAATGTCAGAAAAAGAACTATTCTTTCATAATTTAACGAAGCCATAGATTCTATTAACAAGACATTGATTACCACCATTACGTTATTTTGATTGATTTTTTTTTTTTTTTTTTTTTAACCGGAGGTGTCCAGACCAATTTGCACAGACTTCAATTAATTTCTCGATGCCCTAAAGTAAACGAACGGATAAATCTTCTCAATGATCATCCCTCTTACTGTCTAAGGGGCTCGAACTCAAGAACCTATGTTAGAGCTCTTTGCTGTTTTACCATCAAACTATTCAGTAGTGGTTATTCTGATAGATGTTTGGTATATAAGTTTGCCAGTTTTATTTGTTTGTGAACCTCCTAACTTTGTTGCGAGAGACATGGGAGGGAAAGAAGTTGGGCATGAATAACGCTACTATAATATTTTTGGGTATTGAGTGTTACAAAGAGCCCATGGCACAAGTTCTAAGGACACCCATCCTGGTGAATTTCAATCTCCCCTTGTTATGATATAATAATCAAAATTCATTAAGTCACATGGTTTAGCACATTTTTATGCTTGAGAAGAATTATTGCCCCCTTTTACACACCTTTTCTTTCACCAATGTCTATAATCTTTCATATAGAAGTGCATGCACCTACAATTAAACATTTCCAAAATATAGTAAACAGGGGTGACTAATGGCTGACTCACCCACCAATTACTTTTAACTCTTATTTGATAATACATGCTTTAATAATATTATTGACCTGAAATCTTTGTGATTTCACAATTCACGCTCACCTTAATCTATTGTTTTGTCTCCTACTTTTGAGTACACTTGTGTTAAAAAAGCATTTCTTCATTGGCCCTTTGGGTTTCCCTAGAGCCCAGCCCATAAAGAAAGTGGATCAGAACCAAGTCATTTAACCATGACCCTCGAGTCCAATACAGATATTTGAAACTGCCATCCGTTGGTTTACTCGGTCGATTCTCAAGGCATTAAATAACTAAACCAATAATAACTAATGGAGGAGCAGCATCAGTTCCCTCTCTGCTTTGTTCAGGTCATAGAACAAAACTCTATTATAATAATATTGTAGAGTAAGTAACTCATAAAAGGCTTGATTCCAGGAAAGTGTTCCCCACAAAGATCACAAAGGTTATGCAGGTTGAAGCTAAAGCATATTCAGTGTCGTTAAACCATACATATTAAATGCAATTACAATTTAGATAAGCCTGGAATATGGATCAAAGAGAGTAATCCAATCCAACCTTAAGTGACCAAATATAGTGGAAATTCAGATGCTTGTACATGCCAATCAGTTTAAACCTTTTCAATAAAGAGCAGGTGAAGCCATTTTCACATCTGGAAAACGTCCCCACACAATATTCAAATAATCTAGAAAATAAACCTAAGAAAAGAAAAAGATAGGAACATAAACCAAATCTGTCACTTTCATGACCAAGTCTCAAGGCTTTTTTTTTTTTCACCCACGAGACTTAAATTTTCAAGGTCTCTTCTACTTTCCTTCTTCACAACAAAAAATGACATTCAAAATCAAAATCAATAAATAAACAAATACGATTGAACCAACCAAACCAGCTTGTATTGATATATATTTTGTATAAACAGTGAGAGTTAACACCGATTTCAACCTTTCCCTTTTCATATTCTCTCTCTACTGCCCTTCTTCTTCCTCACAACACTGATTTTGATTTTAGATTAAAAACCCATAAAACAGAGAAACAGTCACCATGAACCATCAAAACATCAGAGATCTGTAACAAACCCACCCAACCATAACCAAACTTAATTAAGAAAAAAAAAAAACCGATACTATCACGAGTCATCAAACCAAAAACCAAACAAAAACAGAACCTAAATTAATGGCTAAAGAGCTAGAATATTATGTAAAAAGATCAATTTTTACACTTAGACCCAACTCAACGGCCACCATTAGGACACTCCCTTGCAAAGTGCCCAGACCCTCCACAGTTGTAGCAGTTCATACCGCCACCTCCACCTCCAGCGCCGCCGCCGCCGCCTCCACCATACCTTCCTCCTCCACCGCCGCCGCTTCCCTGGTGACAATCCCTAGCCAGATGACCACTCTGTCCACAGTTGTAACAAGCACCTCCGCCGCCGCCGCCGCCGCCATACCCACCACCACCACTACTCCTTCCTCGTCCGCCTCCATACCCACCGCCACCACCACCATAGCCTCCACCACCGTACCCACCACCTCCATAACCGCCGCCGCCTCCGCTACGGCCTCCACCACCACGTCCGCCGCCTCCACGGCCACCTCCGCCACCTCCACCTTGAACAGGACTGCCATTAGGGCCAGTCACATCTGCCGCCTTGGTGCGCGACCCATCAGATTCAATCAAGAACTCGACCTCCTCGCCCTCTCCGAGGCTGCGAAAACCCTCGGATCGAATCGAGGATTGATGGACGAAGACGTCCTCGCCGCCATCGTCAGGGGTGATGAAACCAAACCCCTTCTGGTCACTGAACCACTTAACCTTTCCAGTAACCCTTTCAGTAGACATGATTTTGGAAGGGAAAAAAAAATAGAAAACCCTAACCCTAAAAACCCTAGAGATGCTTTTGTTTTTGAGAAAACTCTCTCTCTCTCTCTAGGAAGGTGTGGCTCTCGCTGGACGCTGAAGGCGAGTACTTATATTGAAAAAACTTGGTAATTGTGTGCCTGCCACGTGGGTTTAATTAATTACCGTCCTTTTGTGGTAATCAAAGCGATGGCCTGCCTATTTTTTTGACAGTTTCATCACACGGCTGGGGATTTTTCTTCACGTTTCTTTCACCGTTGGATCATAAATCGGTTTCTGCATGTTTAAGGATGTGTTTGGCTCGGCCTTCTTTTTTTAACTAGTAAAGTAAAGACTGAGTTCAGCGAATAATGATGCCTCCTTCAGATTTAGTGAAAATAACAACTCACCCAAAAGTTTTATAAAGCTAACAAAAGTTCCATAATTTTCAATAAAATATTAAATATATATAAAAAATAAATTCTCACAAAAACATTTTAATGTAAGTACGATTTCACCCTTAAATGTAACATACTTTCATAATTGAAATAAAAATTTTATGAATTTAAAATGACAAGTAAATAGTTTTTTTTATTATTAAATTTATGAATTTTTTTCAATTATTATTTTAATAACATAAGATAGATTTTGTATTAAAAAGCATTGTTTTGAAACCCAACTCGGTTCGACAGAGACCCGACCTGTGAGCCAGGCTGGGATAGCCTAAAAACCAAGGGTTGATTTCACCTAAAATAACCATGATTGGACCGAGGACATTGTAGCAACCCGACGATCTAACTATTTCTTAGGAAAAACTAGGTCAAACATAACCACCCCCCCTCCCTCTCTTTTATGTCCCTGAACTCGATTTCGATCTCTTCCTTTCATCTCTGTTTAACTTCTTCATTTCATCTTTCTTAACTCTCTCATTTCCAATTTTCCACTTCAATGACAGCCTATAGCCTTGTTTTATCATCTTCATAAGCTTGCTTTCATTTTCGACAACAGCTCCGGTCAACGTCAATAGTTACCAATCGAGCTTTCCTCTTCATTTCATCTCTCTAATCTTTTTCATTTCATATCTCCATTTCCACTTCATTTCATCTCTCTGATATTTTTCATTTCAATTTCATGTCTCCAATCGAGATCGTCAAGTACCACTCTATGGAATTTGTAATCAGAAATTATGGATTTTGGAATTTAATCATTGGGTGAAAAAGATCATTTTTTGCTAGAATGTTTATTAATTATTATGTGATTTCTTCATGAGTTTTGTTATTTTGATTTGTTATTAGTTGTAATAGAGATTGTATTGATGTTTGATAATGCTTGTTAAGGATTTTTTTTTCAAGAATTTGTAATCTGGAATTCTGCATTATGAAATTTGTTTTTACTGACATCAACATAATGAAATTATCGGTTCGATTGGTCGGTTCAATTGGTCAACCTGAAACTCGATCAGTTTGGTTAGTTTTGCCCCGGATTAGTTTTTAAAACATTGTTAAAAAATACTTTATAAGTGAGGGTAAAGGAGGTATTTGTTATTCCCTCGTAAAGATTGTGTACAAATTAAAAGCACTATACTCAAAAGGAATTTTCAAAAAAAAAATAACAGTTCCAAACGCAGCATAACACTCTACTGTACAATGAAAATATCTTCCCAACAGTGAGGGTATTTTTGGGAGATCGACGTCGAGGAGTTTTAACGAATTAAAAAAAATCCCATGAAGACATGTGTGGATGAGAACAGGAGGGGTAGGGGCCCACAAGAAAAAGAAAAAGCTGATGAAAAGACTGTTCTGTCCAATCTGCAAGGGGACGTTTATTTTGCTAGAAAATCAATAGGGGTAAAATAGGTAAGATAGAAAAAGAAAAGTTTGGTAGACCGGTCAAACAAAGCATTATAATATTATATGATAATGTGCATGGTGTTGGATGGGACTTGACACCGCTGATTTCTCTTCCCCCAAATCTATTTCCAATTTAATTATCAATTATAATTCTAAATTAATTACGATTAATTATAATTAACTTTTTAGTTTCCTATCCAACGTGACTCGCTCCTTGATACCCATTATTACTTTTTTTTCTTTTTCTTTTTCTTAGCAAAGTTTTCTATTTATATATTTTTAAAATATTATTTTATTTTTTATTTTGACATTGATGTGATTTTATAACATCACTCATCAAAACCTCTTAAATTTTACTTTCATCAAATTCGTCAATAATAGACAATCGAGCTATTAGAGTTTACATAGTCATCCATTCTAAGTCAAATTCTAATCAATCTTAACCAGTAAAATCCAATCTTCCATCATCAAAAGACTCATCAACCTCTCTTCTTTAAAAGTCTCAACAGTTTAGACCGAGTTTATTCTCTATTCGTTATAAAAAATTCGGATAGTAAAGTGGTATTTTAAAAGTTGATGGGTGAAAAAGTATTATTAAACCATTATTTGAGTGGAAAAAAGTCGTAAACTCTTTCTTTTTTAATGTTAAATAACACTTTTGTGATTTTAATTGGACTACTTTAACCCTAAAATATATTTATTTGAAAAAAAAAAACAATGCTAGATTTACAAAGACACATACAAAGGGGACATACAAAGATAATTCTCACCCTTAATTTTCATGATTTCATTCTCTCTCTCTCTTTTTCCGTTTTTTCTTTGTTTTTTTTTTTTCTGGATAATGTCACTTTATAGCCCTCTTTATATGAGTCTTTATAAGGATAACATTTTTCAAAAAAAAATTATATAAATAAGCGAAGATTTGATTCTTAATTGATGTGAAATGAACTCTTTCTTTTTAATGTTAAATAACATTTTTGTGATTTTAATTGGACTACTTTAACCCTACAATATATTTATTTGAAAAAAAGAATTATATAAATAAGCGATGATTTGATTCTTAATTGATATTAAATGAACTCTTTCTTTTTAATGTTAAATAATATTTTTATGATTTTAATTAGACTACTTTAACCCTAAAATATATTTATTCGAAAAAAAATTATATAAATAAGTGATGATTTGATTCTTAATTGATGTGAAATAAAGATTTTGAATTAACGCTCCTTTTTATCTTTTGTCCATAAGATTATAATTCGTATGTATAATCTTCCTATAATCCTATTCCTTTTCCTATTATTATTATTATTATTATATTTATAATAAGACTTTAATTAAATTAGGGTTTTTAGTTTTGGGTTGGGTTGTGATATTTTATTTTTAACTTAAATTTAAACTCTCGTCTCATCTTTCTATCTTAATCCCAAGATGTATTCAATTAAAAATTAAAAAAATATATATATATATATATATCTGAAATTTTAAAGATGTATAAAATCGAATTTGATAATAATTTTGAAATAATTAAATTAAATATTAAGGTGATTTTGATAGCTTATGCTTATCCAAGTCCGTCCGGGACGGGAGTCGGGGTGTGGTCAAAGCTTATTCATTGAGAAGTCAGGCAGTACAATACGACGGCACTCTGCAACTGCAAGTGCAACCTGTTTTTTATTGTAGAAAATGACAACAATGCCCTCTTACCTATTGTCCTAGTTATTGTAAACCTGAAATTGACAAATCATCAGTCACTATTCAAATTCAGTTACGACTTTGCAGGACACAAGATCCTTTTTCTTCCTCAACCTTATCCACATACGCTTCAGGATAATTTATTTGCTTTCAAATAATACGAACATATAAAAATTGTATACCCCCTCCAACATACAAAACTAACACTTTACCCCCCTTATGCTGTCAATTTTCTCACTTCTGTTTTTGACATCCCAAATAGAGGTTTTATCAATTAAATGTAATTGTACAAAGGATAAAAAAAATACTTTCTGAATAAATGTGACTAGTAACCAAAACAAGAATTTTTGTTTTACTAAAAATATCAACATTTATTCCGAATGTCTTTTCTACCACTTGAATCATTAACGCCATTTAGGGTAGTAGTGTTACTTTCTCAAAACTGAGGAGAAAAAGGTTTTTGTGACAAACCTTAAAGGTGACACTAATAAATTCGCTTATTACTTTTTTTTTTTTTCTTTTTCAAAGATTAATATAAAATAAACCCTAAATCTAGCAGCAAATTGGACCCTGATTCAATCAATAGCTAAGATATGGTTGCAACAATATACAAGTATGATAATGATGGTAAATAAATGAAAAATATGAAGATAAAGTTAATTAGATATATTTTCTCCATTACTCGATCTAGAGCTATGCAAAACAGGGTATCCGATCTGGTTTGCCATTTTAATTGGGTACCAAAAAACGAACCAGTTTTTAGGGTACCTAGAAATCCAGATACCTGAATATTCGGATTGATTTCGGTTACCCGGCTTATAACCCCAATTTTAAATGGTTACTAATTAATTAAACTTTTAAAGGGTAGAATGTAAATTTCATTTTTCCTTCCCCAATCTTTTGTTTCTTCTTCGTTTTATTCTCCTTTATTTGAGCATTTCTCTTTCATCATCTAATTTTTCCTTTGCTTCTTCTTCCCCTTTTGCTTTTCTCGTTCTTTTTCGTCTTCTCCATTTCTTCTCCTTCACTACTTTTCTCTCTCTTTTTCATCGTCTTCTTTTCTAGATCTTAATAATATTCAAGACCAAAAAACATAATCTTAATATCCAAAAACTAAACCCACATGCATGAGACAACATCACTAACTGAACTCATTTATTTTTAATTCAACTTGACTCAACATAACACGGAGTCACACTTTACAAAACACCAAGACCTTTACAAAAGCAACGACAAGACTATTAGAAACAACAATATACAATATTTGTTGCCCACACAAAACAACAAAGATAGAACCTGCAGGAAGAATTGAAGAAGAGGACGCGAACTAGAGAAAAATTTGCGTTTTAGGGTTAAATTAATTTGGGGCTCTCGTTATGAGTCAAACAAAAAAGGAAAAATTGTTTTACTTTTTATTTTTTTAATTAAACCGGGTATCGAGTACCTGGTTGTATTTTTAATAATACCCAAATCGAAAATTCGGGTATCTCATGAATTACTATTCGAAACCGAACTGACTTTTTTGGGTGCCCAAAAAATTTGGTTCGGTTAACATGTTCAGTTCGGATAGCGGATAATTTTGCAAAACCCTAACCCAATCTATAAATGAGGCGATGAAGAAGGTTTGGAATTACGTCTGGGTAGTTGTGTGGTTCGACAAATACTCTTAAGTGTATTATTTAAAAGATCCTGAGTTTAAGTCTCTCTTTCATTGTTAATAGGGGTAACAACTAAGGGTATTCGATTTCGGATACCCTATATTTTTTGAAGGAACCGGAACTGACAGTTTCTTGAAATTTAGAACCAGAATCGAGTATCCAGAACTGGAAACTATAACAACGGTTTCGGTTCTGTGTATCTAATAAAATTCATGATCCCCCAAAAGTTTTTAAAACAGCAAAAAAAACTCTTAAAAACTTACAAATAGCCCCCCATCTGGAACTTGTTAACAAAAATAAAATTACAAATTATAAAATCAAAATTATAAACTCCATTACTTTACAAAGATAAATTCTCAAAAGTCAAACCAACATACTTTAAATATTATGAAATATAAATATAAATATATTCACATTATTTTTTATACAAAAGTTTTTATTAACTCCTTATTCTTTAATTTTATTTTATATTAGTCCAGTTTCTAACTATAAGAACTGAAATTGGAATTACACAATAACAGTTTCAAAAATTTGAAACTGAAACTTACCCGTTGATGACTGATTTTGGATAAAAATCGAAATCAAACCTTAAGTAATCGCGGATTTCAGTTTCAATCGATTCTTTTCAACTTTTTATTTGGCCAATAATTATAAGATCTTAAGATCTTGTAAGTTGGCCCCACAACATCGGACTGGTGTGAAGTGAGGGGTTGAATCAAATTTACAGCAGAGAAAGAAAAAATTGTTTTAAAAGAGTTGTTTTGATCAAAGCTAAACTGAGCAGTCAACATATCATTTCAGTAAAGATTCTTTTACAGAAGTTGTCGATTTACCTGCCCTTTTCTCCCTGGGAAAACTTTCTTGTTATGGTCATATAACTTTCATCATCTTCAATTAGTAAGTGCTATACTCTGTGTGTGTGCTGTGCTTGCCCCCACAGCTCAAATGGAAAGTGGAAACAGGTTCCATTTTTATTTCCATTCCCGGGAACTGGAACCCTCTCAAAAGAATTATTTTTTTAAATGCGTGATGATTATGAAATGGTGGTTTTGCAATTTGCAGAAGCATCTTCCTGCAGCTAGCAGAATGCCAAGATTGGTATATTATCAATGAAATTGGAATTCTATTAAGAGCACTATTCTGACAAGGCATTGGCCCATTTTAGGCCCACAACATCAGGTTAGCCTTTGGTTAAATATACATTGGGCCCTGCAATCTGAATTCCGGGTCAGGCTAACCAAAAGTCTATATCACATTTACTCAAACTTAATTGAATAATACTACACCAACAACCTTCTTTCATAAACTTTTCCTTACAATCCTGATGTGACAGCTCACAATTGATCAGTTCATAATGAGTCTCATATGAGTCTTGTATGAGTCCTACTAATTAATTGCAAATTGACTAATTGCGAGCTGCTACATCAGGGTTGTGAGAAAAAGTTTGTGAGAGGGGGTTATTGGTGTAGTATTACTCTTCCTAATTTCCTTCAATCAATCCTTTTTAGCATGGTTGTCAAATCGTGCATCGTATCGTATATCGAAAATCTAATTTTTCGAATCGTGTATCACGTATTGTATCGTATCGCAGGATACGCCTTTTTCAAAAAAATTAATAAATTAATAAAAAATTTCTAAAAACTAATATCATCCCCATGATTAATTAACAAATTTTGTGGTATTATTGGCTTTAAATTATGATATTACATAATCAAAATTAATCACAAAATTAAGAATTTATATAATTTCCTCTCAACCATTCATATTATTTTCAAGATCAATGTCAATGTCAATATCTATAACTCCACTTGTGTTATTATTATCATGCAAAATGAGCAACACATCTTCCTTTTTACTTTCTCTATGCAAAATGGGTAAATTTAGACACGTTTTAGTGAATCGGGTTGGGTGACCTGGATTTGACCTGAAATTTTTTTTGGACCTTTAACCCAAATTAATAAAATCTTATCGATTTATATCGATATTTTTAAGGATACAAATGGATACATATCATATCGTAGGATACATATCAACGTATCGAAAGGTTTAGGATATACTCTCTGATACATATCATTGGCGATCCATATCGAATTGTATCGTAAGATACTAACAACCATGCCTTTCGGTACTTCTTCTTTATTACTGGGTATAATCTTAAAATACAAGTAATCCCTTTAAACTGAAAGAGGAATCGACTTCTTCTCATAAGCAACCAGCATGAAATTAATGAATGAAATGGTTTATTTTTAGTTACATGGACAATTAGCATCTAGAATGACCCTCATCTACGTATAAGAAACAAGAAGAAATCATGCTCAAAATTCGGCTACTCTACTATTCCTGATGAATTGATTCAGAGTTCAGTTAAGTAAACTTGTGCCTGCTTGAATCTGCGGCTGGATTCCATACAAATATACAATGAATATATTCAGAGAAGGAATATTTAATTGCTGAAAATGTGCTTTTCAGATTGACAAACTAGTAGTTGGACAATAAGCTGAAGCATTAACAGACCAGGTTAGAACTTTTAAATAATGCAAGAAGGCAGAGTTACTAGAGGCACTTGTGGTTGTGGTCACAACAATACTAATTTATATACATTTTTAAGGGAGTGGAGAAAACAAATTAACAATACAAAAATTGTATGTATGAATCTTAATGATGTTTTACATGGCATATTTAATGGAACCCTCTTGTTCCCCTGGATTGGTAGAGTTTCAGCCGACTATTTGCTTCTGGTAATAGAGATTCAAGTGAGGGTTCTGCAGTCAAATGTGCCTGCTTTAACGACCACTCAAGTACTATTAGCACCTCTTCTTCTGCAAGTGTCTCGCTATCAGGAACGTTCATTGCAACATAGCATAGGAGCATCAATGCAGGAATTTGAATCATTTGTTCTCCAAAGTAAACGTGTTGAATCAAATGTTTGGTGCCTCCTGCACTGATAATGGCTTTCGAGTGAACATCACAGAGGAAATTCTGAGTTGTTGCAAACTTGTTAAGCGCAATTATGGCCTCCATTGCAACCTCAGGTTCACTTTCATCAAGCAGCTTCACCAATGGTCTGATAAACCTTGTCTCCGTCGCTCGAAAAGTCCTCGCAAGGTTCCCAATACACTTGATGCAAGGTATCAGGAGGTCTGAATCGGCCCTTTCTATTACGTGCAACAACTGTTCAACAACAGCTTTGGCAGCTGGAGAGGTGGGCTTGAAAGCTGAGCGTCTCAACTCGGCATTTTTTTCAGCTACTGCCGTGATTTCGACCAAAGCCATAGCTGAATATGATTGAACATCTTCATGACCTTTCTCTAACAACACTGCAAAACATAAAAGGGCTCTTGATTCTGTTAAGTTACGGCATATGGTAAGACTTTCCTTTGAGAGCTGCCAAAGGGCTCTTGCAGCCATTGCCTTCATCTCCGCTTTAAGAGCAGGGCTTTCGCTTTCTCTCCCTTTATGAATACTACTCACCGCTAATGAAACTTGCCCTTGGTGTTGATGATTGTGCTGCTTTGTGTTGTTGTTATATCTCCTGCCATCATTAGCTTGCTGGTGTTGATTTGTTGGATGCCTTTGTTGTTGTTGGGTTGATTTGGAATTGTTAGGAAGTTTGCGACTCTGAGTCACGTCGCTAACCAAATTGGACATTGAACTAGGAGCTTGGTTCCCCATAGGATGAGCTACTTTGGTAAAATTTTCTTCGCTATATTGTGCCGTCGTCTGATTTTTCTCATTGTTCGGATCCTTGGTAGTATTACTAGCTACCAAAACTGAATGAATCGATGACATGGGTTGTTTATGTGTTGAAATTGTGTACTTACTATGTTCTTGAACAGTTTCAAACGCAAGATGACTAACAAGAAATCGAACAATATTGTTCTGCGCAAAATGTTCTTGACATTTTCGGTGATTTCCAACCAATTCCGACACCGCCCAAGCCACCACAGATTGAACCTTCATGTGACCGTCTTTGAGGATTTTCGCAAACACTGCGCACACACCAGCATTCACAATCTGTTCGACGCTTTCAGCGTCGCGTCCCAACAAGCCTATTGCCCTTGCAGCATTCTCTTGACCCTCTCTTTCTCCTTCTTTAGCTAGTTTCAATAAAGGAGGGACTCCACCTTCCTCTATAATCAACTTCCCGTAACGATCATTGTCGCGAGCCAGCGAAACCAATGAAGCGGCACCATCAGATTTTTCTTCGAAGGAACCCGTATAAAGAATGGAAATTTGTTCCCATATGAGACACAAGATTGGTTCATTGGCTGCAATTGGAGGGAGACCAAGATATTCATCATCATGATCTTCTCCCGATGCTGATACTCTCAATAGCCATGACACGTCTCCTAAACAATTCTCAAGCTGCATTGATGATTTTTTGAATGCTGCAGCTGGGATAATAGTGAAAACTCTTTTCACGATTCCATTTCCCCGGCACTTTACAACTAAAGTTAAGGTTTTATCAAGAACTTGTTCCGTTTCATGAGCAATTCTCAATGTTGGACGCTGGTAAGGCACATTGCTTGTACGTGCAACTTGGCGTAAAAGGGCCGCGAGTTTCTCGGCCTTGCTCTTTAGCTCTTGACATTCTTGTTTAAAGGAATATGCCTCATCTGCTGCCTTCACAATAAAGTCTGCTAACTGAATTGGCACGGCCAATTCTTTTACAAGGTCCGCCATGGCCTAATGCGGACTAAGATGAAATGATAAACCAAAAAGAAAGACGGGTTTTGCTGCAAATGATGATTTACGTCTGTTGACTTAGGAGGCAAAACTTTTGGTGTTTAAGGGGACCATACCGGATTTGAATTGACTTTGCTGGTGTGTAAAGGTGCTGCGGTGGTGGTGGTATGGGTGGCGGCTCCGGCAGTGAAATGAGAGAGAAAGAGGAGAAGATTAGTTTTGTAAGACTTCAACGGTGCAACGAGATTTTCTGCAACTTTCATGTAGAAGATGACCACCATTCTTCTTTATGTTATATATAGGAAGTGAAATGTTTGGTCCAAAAATCAAGAGCATTTCTATTACAAGAAAAGCTTCAAAAAAGCCCCAATCGCCTTGAGTTAGCGATTGGCTTACACTTGCCAACTAATTCCATTTATATACGGCCTTTCTCTTGGCTTATCTTTATCATTACGTTCAAAGCAGTCAAAAATTGATAAGGTAAAGAACAATTAGGAGGGCCATTATTTAAAAGAATTTTGTCTTGGAATGCCACTCGGATATGTATATGGGCATTGAATATTTTAGGTGAAATGTCATGCTAAATATTTCAAGGAATAAAGCATAAAATGTTGGCTAGCAATGGATTTGACAATGGGTTATCTTACATGCTTAAGCTTTACTCTTAATTACCTAAAATTCCAGAGTCCAACTCAAGACTCATTCTATGTTTAATCTTTGGATATTCTCATAATCAACGGGTCTCGATTGCGACGAGGGGTTTGAAAATTGTGACCACATATTAGTTTCTTCAAATGCACAGAAAACATTACCAGAAATTTGCTTATGCTTCTGTTGTTGCTTGTAACACTCAGTTAATTGTATCTATATCTCCTACTTGTAAATTGAAGTAAAACTGTTGGTGGTTTGGATTGTGACTAATTCCAGGAAAAAAAAAAAAAAGTAGATTTTCGAGGGGACCACAAAAGATAAGCAACATTAAGAATCTGTCACTTCAATGTGCAAAAACAAGACTCAACTAATGAACATTCTCAAAAGAAAATTGAGCATTTAAAGCCTAAACTACTGGACCACTAAGAGTTGCATGATTATTGAGAAAATATATATAACACTAAGGTGCCACTCGTTTAGAGAATATTAGATTACTAGGAACGTTTGATTATTGGAAAGTTAGATTACCTTGAAGATTATTGTAAATCTTTAGAAAAATATGTTTGGTTAATTGATGGGTATGTTATATTAATCAATAATACTATACTTACAAAGAAATCTTACAAAGATTTCCATACAAAGTGAGGTGACAAAAAATGAATAGAAGAGTGAAACAAAAAGTCAAACTCATTAAATTCATTCTTCTATTCATTTTTTGCTACATCACTTTGTGTGGAGATTTTTGTAAGTGTAGTATTACTCTATATTAATATGTTTGGTTGGGAGGAATAAATTGATGGGTATGTTATTTAAATTACTGAATTGTCCTCTAACTAAATATTATTATTATATTATTTTTTAATATTTATTATTATTTGGATTATTATCCCCCCCCCCCAAATTTAGAAACTTAACAAAAACAACCACATAGTAAAAGTTTGGAAAATTAACAAAACACCCCCACCAACCCAGCCACTGCCACCCACCGGCAACCTAACGGCGCACGGAAGGCAGGAAATGGCCTCCGTGCCCCATATGGCCATTTCTGGCTAGAAATGGCAATATTGGCGCACGACGGCCATTTTCGACCTTTCGTGTGCCATTTCGGCGGTTGCCTGCGGTAGGTGGGTGGGGGTGGTGGCTTAGGTGGGCTGCAATTTGTTTTGAATTCAAAAGTAATCCAAAAAGTTAATTAATTGGAGTGAAATAGTAAAAGATATATTCATGTAAATAAATTTAAAAATAAGGGCATTATTGTCCTATAATTTTATTAATAAGGGATAGAATTATAATAAAAAAAGATAACCCTGATAATCTTAGAATATCTAAGAAAATAGAGATAATTAGATTATCTCAAATACTACCAATAGTAACCACTATTGTTATTTGAAAATTACCGGTATCTTATATTATTTGACAACTAAATATGATAATCAAGTAATATAAAATAATTTAATCCCGATAATCCCAAGTAACCCCCTACCAAACGCCCTAACAGCTTATCTGAAAGGCATTAATGAAAACAACAGTCAGCAATAAAATTTGTTCCGAAATCTGCTTGCTGTTTTTTTGTTTTTTCTGTTGTCTTTTCTTTGCCTCACATTTGGTAGAAAGGACATTAAAAATTTCCATGTAAATGTGTTTAGTTGTTGATATTGTCACTTGGGCTATCATGGTTGTTGAAACATAAATACTTGCACACGTAGTTGGCCTTGGCCCCTTTAGAATTCAAGGCAGCTCATTTGGTAAGCAAAAACTGCAGGTTTAGTACATACACTCCAGTTTCACACAAGCGCCCATAGTTGAGACTTGAGAAAACCTGTATCTTAAAAACTAGTTCGAGCCCTCTCTTTCTTTCTTTCCAAATCACACAAGAAATGAAACACCTGGCTTAATCCTGCAATTCTAGATGAAGGTTTGGAACAGTACAGCCTGCAACAGCGATTGTTTCTCCTCAGACTCAGAATTATTGCATGCTATGGCCCTGATATCACAGGGGAAAAGATGATATATGCAGTTCGGGTAATCAAATATATCCAAAGTTTTGTCAACAAGGTCGTTAACTTCAACTTCAGTTATCATAACAAAACATGATGGCTCTTGAAATTACCCTTTAAATGGACAGGCAATAGTTTAAGCACCTTCCCTGAATGTATTATCATTCTCATGCTCCCAGTTGAACTAACATTTTCATGTGATCATGTCTAGTCATCGCAGTAGAAAGGTATAAGTAATAGGGGAGATCATGTGATGAACTGCGACATCAATAGTGAGGAATTGATTCATTATTGATAAATTAAATGAACCACCATGTATCAATGGATGGGATTAGGACCGCCAAATTTTTTTTATCTCAATGATAATAACCTTATCTGTTACGTCCTTATTACTAAGGACAATGTACCTTCAAACCCTTAAATTAACTGGGCCATAAAATTAATTTGAAGCATTGTATCTTGTAAATTCTTTATGCTGTGTCCTTCATGAAGCCTGTAGCCACATACTGTTCAAGCACACTTAAGTCACATCAGCAGGATTATGACCATCCTGAAGCTTACTTAGAGTTTAGAATTGTATTATTTGTGCTGAAAGGCTTAGAAGTTGCATTCTAAGTATGAACTGCATACATCTTCCATCGCCGATAAATTAGAGTTTTAAGTCACTTTCTGGATTGTTACAAAAAGTATCCAAATGGGTTTACGACCCGATGATGCAATAAGACACGACCTCATAAAGACATGAAGTACAAAAGGCGAGGAGTTAATCACATCTCACATTTTTGGCTAGTCCGGAATGTTATACTAATCTCTCATGTTTTATCAACTCTTCCACATGATTATTAAATATTCCATGGAAGGAGAGTCTTTGATCAAGTTAGATGAATGTTTGATCAATCATTCATGATAGTTAGTTGACAAGAGCGGTCAATTAGGACTCTTAGGTGTATTATTTAAGAGGTTTTAAGTTTAATTTACTTGGGTTGTTAATAAAGGTGATCACTGAGTGGATTTATCCAGTTACCAATTTTAGGTTTCTAAGAGATTAGTTGAGATGCGCATAGACTACCCAGACAACTATGGTCACAAAAAAAAAAAAAAAAAAAAAAAGTCAACGAAATCCCTCAGACTGAACATCTGTTTCTGCAACATAAGAAAAGGGAAGCTTGTGCTTCATAAATGAATATAATTTTTTTTTAGGGTGGTTAAAATGTCATAAATGAATATATCCAAAATTCAGCAATCTTTTAGAGCCAAGCAGGGACAGTCTAGTTTAAGCCAAACATATGCAATATCACAATTTTTTTTTTCTTCTAAAACCATAATCCTAGCCAACATTAAACAACAATCCTCTTGAATTTTGATGGGTTCAAGCCGAACTGTCTATTCTTGCTGATATTGTAATGAAAACAAACACATTTCTACCAAAATGAAAACAGAAATAACAATTTTGCAAAGCAATAAAAAAGAACTAACCACTTAATTTTTCCTTTCTGGGCAATTTATGTTATGGTCTATTATGCCTGAAAAAGTAGGGCTGACGCAGAGTCTTGTCAGCATAGGGTGGTCAGAACTTATGAAGGTTCCGCGACCATTCAAACACGGCCACGTTGCATGATGACATGAGTAGCATGCCCCTGTCAGTGTAGTAGGTGAACGCCAGATCAGCGAATGGTTGGGAATCGTCCACGTATCCAATCCTTGCATAAGTCGACATAAATCACTCAAGCAGGTGAGCAATAGGATGTAGAGAAGGATTTGCACGATATCTACCCCACTTGTAGATTTAGTAATCATTACCTTGATTCATCCCATTATAAATAGGGGCCTTCTCTCTCATTTGCGGGATTGACTAATTTCACTCTAGAATAGCATGCTCTCTCTCTCTCTCTCTCTCTCTCTCTCTCTCTTGTATTCTCTAAGTTGTAACTCAGCTCGCTGAACGTGACCTGACTTTACTCTCATTAATACAATATCAGTGGATGTAGGATTCGCCTTTGAGCATCCGAACCATTTTAAACATTGTTCTTCATTCTTTACTACACTCAATACTTCCATAATTACGTGTGACTTTTAAGCCCGTTTAGCATTTCTCACGTGCGAATAGTTGTGTCAAAATCAAGTATCAACAGTTTGGCGCTAGAAGGAAGACCTGATTTAGTACCTGTTCTTCATTAGGAGAATCTCTGACTAATCGGTTCCACTATAGCAAATGGCTCGCGACTTTGAATCTGACGAACCAATTATGGCAATGAAGAGATCCCCCAGGTACAGGAGGACACTTCCCCCGAAGTGCCCCCAGCTCAGCAAAATATCATAGGGGATATCCCTTCAAGCTCATGGCTTGAT